CTACTACCGATTGTATCTCCGAATGGCAGGCGATGGCCGACTAATTGCCGATCCTTATCTGATACATGCCTTGTTATCGATATTTATTGCCCGAGTGAGACTGAGAAAGTTGCTTCTAGATATACATATGTTCTTTAAATATTTTTTTTTCATGTTTCTCTTAAGGAAGCAGAAGACCTCTCTTGGCGACGCCAATGCGAATAGCCCACATCCACCCATTTCACCCTCTTATTCATAGTAACGAAAATATGGAATTAAAAGTGTTAAAACAACATTGTAAATGAAATCTTTTTAAAACGTTCAAAGGTAACTGTCTTTACTTTTAGGTTAGTTAAAAGAGCTCTGACGGTAATGATGATGGATGGTCAAACATTTGTCACAAAGAAAGGAATTTGAAGAGTTTGGATAATTAACTTTGTCAACTAACACAAAGCAAGAAGAAACTAAATCATTTAATGTTTGACATCTATAGAAATGAATTTTAAAAAGATCATAGAGAATTTTCGTTAGCTTCTATCGCCAACGCATGTACAAAAACATTCCTACAACAATTTTCTTAAAAATGAAGTAGATGGTACATTTTTTTAAAAACCCACAGTTGAGTTACACCTTTTAAGTTTACTATAAAAATCTTAAGTCTTTTTTATAACATAAGGTGGCAAACTAGCAAGCGGCCACCTGAATCCGCCAAAATGGCGAAGCGACCGCTGCCCATAGACATCCGCAATTGCAGATGCGTTGCCTACCCTTATCCGACAGAGACGCACATAAAGAGGATATTTCCCCTTCCTATGCATCTCCTCCTCCGTCTAATCCACTTCCTCTTCCCATCCCCTCCTTACAAGAAAAGGGTGGTAAATAGAAAGAGACTTAAATTAGGCCTCCGGCACCACACTCATCAGACGAAACACGGAATTGCTTCCATTTCACGCCTGTCATCTGTGTGGTCGTGGTATTACTGGGGGCGTGCCGGTCCATTCGTGCTAAGATGTTAAAGCGGGCACTACCACTGTTAAATATCAAGTAATGAATATAAAGGGATATGATCAAGAAGAAAGCGATAGCTAAGATGACGGATGATAGTGTTATTTGGGGGACGAAAACCCTGTACGCCACTACGGGGGTAGGATAGTAGGGGAGATGATGGAGTAATTAATAAGTTTATGATATCAACGTCTTAATTAATCTTTTTTAACCTTTAGTTCTCTTCATTTCTTAAAGTGTCATCTTCTTTCGAAGTTTGGCGATCTTTAAGGCGACTTGTTCTATACACCATTGCTCTAAAAAGCCTTTGTCTTTAACCTTTGACAAATGAATATGGAATTCAAATAATAGCGTACGTGTTATATACTTCATTACATAAAGCCCAATGAGACTGTATTAGGTAAGGTTGCAATCAGAGCAAAATAAAGGTGAAAGTACATCATTAGCTGATGATGGCCTGATGAGGCTACTTTCAGTCAAGTGAATAACCTGCCTAATGAGCTCGTCAGCCAACAATCGATCAACGGTTCACTTTGAATTATTTACGTACTTAGGGACTTATAATGCTACCGTATATTTACTTATTGTATAGTTACACTTGCGAAAATTCAATTTTTCATAATTTTTAAAGCTTTGCACAGCCAGCCAGCTTAGCCATTTTTATGTATAGAAAAAGAAACCTAAATAAAAAAATACTTATTTAATAAATGGAAGTATTGTAATATAGTAATCAATTAATTAAATTCTATGATTCAAACCGCGCATCATTGAATTTGTTAATTCTTAAGGCTTGTTTATACTTTCGCGTAACAATTTGTCATAGCTACTTGAAGATCGCTTGTCTAAACGATTGTAGTAACTATTAAATCAAACCATTCAAGTGTACGTACAGACACACCGGTAACGGCTCGTTTCTCATATCAAATTGATTTTTGATTAGTTTGAAGGTTATATTTGGTTAGCAAGAGGTTTGTTTTCTAAAATTCCGAGAAATTTTGATGATTTTATATATGTATATTAAATGTAACATTTAATGCAGTTGTCCCTTACTTTATTAAACTTTAGTTATATATAGTACAAAATTAGTTTTAGTTGATCAAAACGATTATAAAATCATTAAAATAAACAACCAAAACTTCCCTAATCAGAGTGTTTAACAGTCCAATCTCTCACACTAATTCCACATTTAGAGTCTCTTAGTCACCAATAAACAAATGCCTCCGAAAGGAATTTAATAAAAAAAAATAATTTGTTTGCATTTACCAAATTAGTCAATCTCGAGTTTTAGGCATAAAAATGAACATGAAACAGTAATTGTGGTTTGTGGTCACATTGCGTCAGAAATCCAGACGTCTGCGTAATTTAATCGTTTTAGTTATTTACTAGCTTTCGCCCGCGACTCTGCCCGCGTGGAATTAAAAAAAACAAATGCGAGTATCCTATGTGTTCTTCCAGACTATCCTCTACATCTATACCAAATTTCATCGAAATCCGTTCAGCTGTTTAGGCTACAAACTCTAACAAACATCCATCTATCCATCCATCTAAACTTTCGCATTTATAATATTAGTATGATTACTGTCGAGAAAAGAATATAAAAATAATAGTTAAAGTACAAAGCAATGTAAACGGTCCAACACAATAAATAAAGCAAGTGCAAATTTTATTACATTAATTTGTTTTACTCGTAACTTCGGTCATTTAGATCTAATTTACTAGAAAGTCTTACGAACTAAAATAAAAATAATTTCTATGCAGCAAGTCGATTTAAAAAAAGCTTTAATTCCCTCATTGATACAAAATTGTATTCCACTATAAGAATAAATTCTAATTTGTTACATCTAACAATAGTGCACGTTCTAATAATTGTAGCGTGAAATAGACATTTAACAGTGGTAGTGCCCGCTTTAAGATCTTTGCACGAATGGGCCGGCTCGCCCGGTGTAATACCACGACCACACAGAAAACAAGCGTGAAGTGGAAGCAATTCTATGTTTCTTCTGATGAGTGTGGTGCCGGAGGCCTATTTTTAGTCCTTTTCCCTTTTCACCCTTTTCGTCAGAGGAAAGTATGGTAAGAAAAAGTAAATTTGTCGGTGGAGGAGACGCATAGAAAGGGGAAATGTCCTCTTTATGTGCGTCTCCTCCTCAATCAGTTAAGAAGAGGCAACGCATCTGCAATTGCGCATGTTATGGGCAGCGGTCGCTTTCCATTTCGGTGGATTCAGGTGGCCGCTTACTTGTTTGCTACCTTATATTATAAAAAAATAGACACTTTAAAAATAATTGAAGTATCTCAAATTCTAATTCAACTAATAAATTTCATTTGCGAAAATAAATTGCATCTGCCAATAAATTGGGTATAACTAATGCACTGGCTCTATAACAAAGAACAATAATCGAACCCGGATCTGTTTGGAAGCGACCCGAGTTCAGTCA